CTCTCTCTCTCTCTCTCTCTCTCTCTCTCTCTCTCAAGGATTTTTACGTTTAATTTGATTTTTATTTAATTTTTAATTAACGTTTTCTAATAAAATATTTGACTAAATGACGTTAATATTATGAAATTATTATTTAAAAAGAATATCACAATTAAAATAATTTGGAAATTACAAAAAATTATTATAAAAATAAAATAAATACTTATTATTCAGAGAAGATGAGATTAATCCTGATGTTTATAATCAAAGTAATCTAGTTAATTACAAAATTGTTTTCACGCAATTTCATACAATGCTGTAAATTGCAATACAGGATACACTACAACATAATATGCCTAATATTTCCTTTTATCAAATCCTATTAAATATTTGAAAAGCAAAATTGTTTTTCTTTTATTTGTTGAAAACAATTATAATAATTTTATATACATTTGGAAATATTAATATCAAAATATCTAAATATAGTTTTTGCGTTTTTAATTAAATGTGAAAATTATTTGTTTTGACGAAATTTAATGCTAAATCAAACCTCAAATTTAATTATAATTTTTGCTAAAACACAATGCGTTATGACCTCATAGTCTCTCGTAAGCGATGGTCTTTCCCGTCACTAATATCTCTAAACAACAATTAATTTTATATATTTCACAATTCCTTATATCATATCTAATCACCATATTATAGAAAAACACTGAATCGGAAGTCAAAACAGATTTAATATTAAGCTTTTATATACAGAATGTATAAAAAGAAAAATATTTTTCATTCATTGTTTAGTTCTTATCAATAATTGCCTAAATTTTTAATAAAATTTCTATAAACACTATTTTAAATATATTTTTAATTAAAGTTATTATTATTAGTTTTTCAATGAAAAAAATTGTATATTAAATGTTATGTCTAACTGTTTAGACACTAAGGTTTCGTATTCATAGACTTTGAATACAAGACGATAAGTTTGTTTGAAATATTTTTATAAACACTATTTTTATAAAATTAAGTAAATGTTTTGGGAATCATATATCTATTATGATGTTAAATATATTCATAAACGCTATTTTAATTAGTATAATATTTTAATATTTTAATACATAAAATTAAATTATTAATATAATTTATAATTAAATGAATGCCAAGTATATTGATTTGTACGAAATTTCTTAATTATATGAATGATTGCATAATACAAAACTATTATTTCATGTGAAATTTATCGGTATAACTATATATACAGTACATAAGAAAGTTATAGACTTATAGTTTGAAAACCCATTTGGTTTATGTCGTAGAAAAACAGCGATTCTGTGCTTTCGGTCACGTTTTCCACAAAACGCTATGCAATCCGAGAATCAAGTATTTTGTTTGAAAGTCTATACATAAACTATTCAAACGGATTAACTGATTGACGATTCATTAGATAATATGATATTATTGATAGATTTGCTCGTATTTTATCTATTAAACGATTTTATAATTTTAATATTTTTATAATAAATAAAAATGATATGTTCATAAAATTTTGATAAATTAATTCTTAGATCATATAAAGGGTAGAAATGATGTGATAAAGTGTTGGTAGACGTGTTAATCGATATAATTTACAGTATTATATAAATAAATTAATAAAACAGGGTCATATGATTTAAAGATGTCCATCATGGTGACCATTATTATTAAACATAACAACTATTGATAATAGTAATACAATGGGGAAAGATTTATTTTATAATTGAAAATAAAACAATAATAAACTTTTTATATATTAATATTAAATAAATGAAAAGCAATAAAAACATCAAATGACTGATTGTCTAATTAACGGATATAATTAGTAATTCAGTGTTTATATAAGAAAACAATTTTAATCATATAAAAACTAAATAAGGATTTTTATTTGATAAGTTATTTATCAGTTTTTGGGTTTTTTAAATTTACATTGTTTTAAAATTATTATTAATAATTTATTAACAATAGAAAGCATTCTCAATGACAGAATTGGAGACTAGAAAAAAAACAAATTTAAGGACAAAATAGTAAACATTAACAGAGAAATGAAAACATATTTAAAAGTATATCAAAAGAGAAAAAACAATTTGATTACATGAATGCAATCACAAAATGTATTATTTTTGTGGGCAGTCCTGCAGTTAAATGAATGGACAGAAAAATAGTGAGCGAAAAGTGAGTGTAAATTCCCAAAGAAGTGGTCGAATATCTAATTGAATGAAAAGCAAAATAAAACAAAACAAAAACACAAATCGAGATATAGTGGATGAGAAGTGATGGGGAGAAGGGATGGGATGGGCCTATAAAATGATGATATCATTTCACTCCAAACAGAATTAGATTTTTCTAACTTATAAATTGAGTGAAGAGTCTGTTAAAAAAGTTAGTCAGTTCTCAGTCGACAAGTCATTTGGAAATATCGCATAGAAATATACAGTTGACGAGTATTTTCACGCATAAAACTTATATAATATACGAGAAGTTTGTGTTGTGGTAAAAAATCTACAGTGAATACCAGTTTTGTTTCATAAGTAAAATGAGCCGATCGTTGTACGTGACATCAACCATAACCACACTTTTTATTTATCTATATTTGTGTTCATTTTGGCAACACTTGAATTGTGCGAAACTTGATTTCGATCAACTCGTTAGGAGGTATGCCTTAAAGTATGTCTCATTTTGTTGTTTCTGTCATATGTTTTAACGTAAACCCATATTTTTGATACCTTTATCTTACAATTAAAGCCGAAAATTTTTCGTTTTCATCCCATATGTGTGTACTTTTGAGCCCTGTTTTAAATTTACATGACTTTGAAGTTTGAGATATAGACGTAATGTTATGTAAACGCAATGTACTTAATGTTAGCGCTGGGAGTGTATGAGAGCTGTCAGTTGTCAGCACTGAAGGTCTATTAAAGGACATTAACTTTCCTTTTAGTACACATTTTTCTTTATATTCTTATACTTTTAAGTGTAAAATATTTTTTATAGATTAATTTTAATTCACATTTTGTCTCCAATTAATATATCATTTCATTTATTAATTTTTTAATTAATTTAATTAAAATTCATTCATTCATTTCAATGAACACATGAGTTGGGAATTCAGACAAATGAGTGAATTAAGGGTTTAATGAGTCTCTCGACTCTTGTTTTTACTTAAAATACTCTAAATTTTGTTAATTGCATTGTTTTTCACGTATTCTCTTAATTCATGAGTATTTATATTACAATCCTTTCAAAAAAGTTTAGGTCATTTAACTTGGATTTTGTTTAAGCCTTTGATTTGTTGCAAAACTTTAGCAAAAATAATTTCTATTGTGGGTTTTAATAGTTAGTTTAATTTATTTAATTACTTGTAAACACATTCTATCGCTATTTAAATATTACTTTTATATTAAACCAATAAAACTAAAATTTGGGAAAATATTTAAGTATTTACAGGATTTAAGACTAAATTTATTTTTCAAACTGATTTAAATCTTTTAAAATTGGAAAATACTTTATTATATAAAACATTTTTTGGGAAAACTATTTCCTCTATAAATGATAAACTAATTTGTGAAAAGTTTTATAAAGATTTTCAATTAAATTATAAGGATTTAAAAATAGGTTATATTCTGTCTAACGGTTCTTGACGTGAATACAAGGAAATGATAGCATTATTGTAGCGAATGATAAATAGTAATAATTTATAATGAAATTATTGTGACCATAAATAATGGACAATTACATTGACCTTATTTTCTCATCAACTATTTTCTTTGCCAAGTCTTTCCCAAAAACATTAATTTAGGTTTAAATTAAAGAAATTTTAAATAAATAAATATTAAATAAAAACAATTTGTTTTCTATTTGACAGAAACCGACGACACGTGGATTCGCCAAAAGAGGAGAATGTATTTCAAGTGTTAAGACTCTTAAGGAAATCAAATTTGGACGACAATGAAGTCCAACAGATTCTCGAGTGAGTTATTACAGGCATTAATACAAATAAACATTGCATTCAATTAATCGGCGATTATATAATAGTGAGAAGAGAATTGGGTTTGGATTGAATCGGGGATATTCTGGCGCTCAGGCGGCTAAACACCTTCTCGGCCTCTCAGCCGCTAATCTGCCCACAAGTCCCGGAAGAAGGAGGAGAAGAGCTGTAGTATTAATGAATTAAATTTAATACTTTAAATTTATTGTGCATTTATTTATTATGTTGTAAATTCTGTATAAATAGATTTCTTTCTCGATGTTTATCGATATATTATTTATTAATTATTAGTATTTTATTTGTAATTCATTTGTGATTGCATTGAATCTCATTTGTATCGTGTTTTGCTTGCATTTCAATATTATATTAATATATTTACGACTTATTTATTAATTAATTAAAATAAATAATGAAAATATAAATATAAAACTTGTTAATTATTAAGTAAATTTTAATGGTTAATAAATATATTTTTTAATTCAAAAATGTAAATATATTATAATTTAAAAATACAAAGTGATTCATCGGCAGCTAACAATGTAATTTTTAAATAAAACTTTGCGCAAAAGTATTTTCATTTTATTAAAAATATAAAGGTAAAAATTTCAAAGCAAATATTATCGTAAAAATAAACAAATAATAATATAATTCATGCAATATTTAGATTGAAAATTGAAATGAACTTATATTATAAAGAATATTATTTACACAAAAATATGTTTTCATTTAAGTTTTTTTTATCTGTCATAATATTTATTAAAAACATACGAATTTCTATAGACTATAGTATTGTGAAGTAAAATGCAAATTACATTCATTGAACAAGAATTATATTAATGTTAACTTTATTCAACGTATAATTCGATACTTTAAACATTGGTTTTACACTTAACTTGCCTTTACTTTTAATTACTTGAATTGGGATTAAGATTGTGATACAATTCATGAGATATACTTTAAGACAGTCATTACAAAAGAATCTACGATTGTCTCAATTGTATACCGTATTTGCAAATATTTATTTTGTTTATTAAAAAACATATTTAAAACAGAATGTACTTTATATACTATATTTATGCATATTTTCCAATAATTTTCTTGTTATTTATATTTATTACTATTCAATAATTTAGTTTACATAAAACGGATCGATTGTTACAGTCATTTGTATTTAAAAGAAAGTAAACAAAAGTTTTATTAAAAATATTATTATTATAGGATAATTCACAAATTGTGATTAAAACTTATAATGTAATTATAAATGTAATTTAAATTTCACGATTGATAATGTTGCATTTAATTCCTTAATACAATTTAACCATGGCACGTCATAATTAATTGCTTTATTGTTGATATCACAGTATTTCCTATATTTGAGTTATGATCGGAAGGGAAACCAATCATAAAAAGCGATCACTCGATAAAACTATTACTTTTGCCTCAAATAAACATTTGATTGATTTATAGGAGAATTTAATCGACAGAATAAATCTTTTTGTGAAAAACAAAATAAAATTATTACAATATTTTTGAATGCATTTCACGTTTGGTTTTGTTTAAAAGTAAACGGTGTCCCAATGATTTGGTACTATTGTGTATTTACATAGGAAACCATTGAATTAGTACTTTATTATAAACACGTGTAGATCAGGCATCTATAATCCGATTTTAATAAACTCGGTCATTTTCAGACATTTATAAATGACACTTTATCTCCGGGAACTAATAATACAATTTCACTAATGTTCTTGCCTATTTCTATAACAATATTTAGATTAAATGTATTATTTCAGAAATGACGGCCAAGAAAACGGATTTCTTCATTCAAAAATTTAAATAAATATCAGAATTTTTAAAATTTTCTTAATTTATAATAAAGCAATTAATTATGACGTGCCATGGTTAAATTGTATTAATGAATTAAATGCAAAATTATCAACCGTGAAATT